GAAGATGCTGCTGGCTCCATCCCTGCCCTCGGGACAGGGCAGCGATCCCGCTCCGGCTGGTGCCCACACAGCCTGAAATCCCAGATCAGTGCTGTGTCCCCATCCCATCCCTGCAGTCTCTTGCAGCACAGCCCAGTGCCAGGATGGTTGTGGTGGGGTTTGAGAATGAGAAGCTGAGGAATTACATGAGATGGCACTGGGGTGGGGAGGGGGGGTGAGTGACTGGTGGGACAGAGCTCAGGGCTGGCCTCCCTGTGCCTGCCTGGACAAGGCGATAAGACCTCAACTGCTTTGGTGAAGCCCCTTGAGACCTGCTTGGATGTGGGGATGGGGAAGGTCTTTCCCCGCCTTGGTGGGGCTGCAGTCCCCCTGTCCATGGGGCAGGACCTGGGAGCCGTTGCCTCCCACTGGTGTGTGTTGGATTGGCATTAGGGGCCCCCCGGGGTCCCTGGGGTGGAGAATCTCGGCCCACAGGGAGTGCAACCTGAACTGCTGCTGCTTCTTGCAGACATCTGGAGCCTGGGGGTCATCCTCTACATGCTGGTGTGTGGCCACCCCCCCTTCCAGGAGGCCAACGACAGCGAGACCCTCACCATGATCATGGACTGCCGCTACACCGTCCCCCCGCACGTCTCGGCCCAGTGTGCTGAGTAAGCACCACCCCCCTCGCTGTACCCCCAGACCCCAACGTGCTGCCCCCAGGGTGGGTGCCCCATCCCTCAGGGATGCCTGGGAGCTGAGGTGGGAAAAGGGGGGTAAAGCTGCCTGGTTTGGGGTTCACGTGCTGCTGCAGGGTTGCAGCGTCGCCCCTTTTCCCTCAGTCTCATCTCCAGGATGCTGCAGCGGGACCCGAAGCAGCGAGCGTCCCTGGAGCAGATCGAGGGCCACACGTGGCTGCAGGGGGTGGACCCGTCCCCCGCCAGCCGCTCCCTGCTGCCCCTCACCTCCCACAAGCGCCTGTCCCAGGAGGAGCACGAGATCATCCTCCAGGCCATGATGTGCGGGAACATCGCCGATCGGGAAACCATCCAGGAGTGAGTGCTGGGCTGGGATGCCGAGGTGGGAGCCCCTGCACAGGGCTCTGGGGGTCCCGGTGCGTCCGTGGTGCGCTGACGTGAGTCCTTCGGTCACGCAGGGCGCTGGAAGCCGACCGCTACAACCACATCACGGCCACCTATTTCCTGCTGGCGGAGAGGATGCTGCGGGAGAAGTGGGAGAAGCAGGGCCACTGCCTCAGCCTTGTCTACAACCTGGCCAAGGAGGTGCAGAGCAGGTGAGCCCCTCTCCTTCCCCCTGTCCCATGTTCCCCCCCTGTCCCATGTTCCCCCCCTGCCCTGTGCCATCCCAGGTCCCCAGTGCAGGGTCTTGGCTGGTCCCCTGTCCCCTTCCTTGCCACAGCCCTTTCCATGCCCAGCTGGGTACTGACACCTCCCTCTCTCCCCTTCCTCAGGACCAACTTATCGGACACATTTGGCTCCGGGGGCGGTGCCAGCAGCCTCCTGCCCTTCACAGAGCCCGGCAGCCTCGCTGGGGGGTCCCGGCTGCCCCCCGGAGGGGACATTGGTGGCCGGCAGCCCACCGGGACCCTGCTGAAGGTCCCCGCCGTCGACACCACCATCACCAAGAGCACCCCGGCCCTGCAGCAGATCTGCGAGGAGGAAGAGGAGGACGAGGAGGATGAGGAGGGGAGGCCCAGCGCCATGGAGAGGAAGAGCAGCTCTCTGAACCAGGAGCAGATGCGAGCCTTCCTGCGCGCCCACCGCCCGGCCGGCCGTGGGGAGGTCTGGGGGCCGGGGGCTGAGCTGGGGGGCCGGGGCGGGCGCCCAGGGGCAGCCTGGGCTGGGAAGGGAGCGATGGGGGGCCAGGGTCTCCTGGGCCTGCGGGGGCGTGGAGCTGAGCCCCAGAGGAGGGGGGAGGACACAGAGCCCAGGGGCTCCTCGTCAGAGTTCCCCAAGGAAAGGGAAGCCGTCCCGTCATCCCAGAGCAGCTCTGCTGGGGTACCCCAGCTGCTGGGGGCAGAGACGACCTCTGCCTCCCTCCCAAGCCCCAGGGACACGTCCCCAGGGCAGGGGGCTCCCACCAGCCCCGCCCGGCAGTCGGTGGAGAGCTCAGGCACCGAAGGGGGTGCGGAGAGTGTGATCAAGCTGGACCCAGGCAAGGGCAAGGGGGGCAGCCTGCGGGACAGGCTCCTGCAGATCCCGCTCTGTGAGAAAGCTCTGGCCTTCAAACTGCGGCCGGGCTCCAAGGAGAGCCTCCTCTCGCTGGGGCAGTTCAACTGCTGTCACGTCATTTAAAGCCCCGGGGCGAGGGACCGGCCCCGCTGTGGGGTCTGGGTGGGAGGGCACCCGTTCCCCTGCCTTTGGTCTGCCAGTGGCCATGGGGCTGACAGGGGGCACGGTGCCCTGCTTTGTCACTCGTGGTGGCCACCCTGCCAGCCTCCCCAAGGCATCTTCTGTGAGAGACCCCCCAGGATGGGCCCTCCTGAGGGCGAAGCGGACTGGGGTCCATCCCTGCACCGGCCGGCTCGTCCCCAAAGCCCAGGACAGCTCCCTGACCCTGCCGGGGTGCGATGGACCGCGACACTTTTTTAACTACTAGAAATAATTTTTTTAAATAGTCTATTTTACTGTAATTAAATAGAGATTGCTATATCCCCCTGGCCCCCCCGGGCCGGCGATGCCCAGCCCCGCAGAGTGCATGGCCTGGGGCCAGGCTGTCCCGCCTGCAGCCCCCCCGCTGGCCCCGGCCGGGGCCAGGCACAGCCTGGCCCGTGACCCCAGGCCATCCCCTGGGCCCTCCCCACAAATAAGCTTCCTATTTATTATCTCTTTGTTTTCTTGCTGGCAAGAAATGAATGCCGACGGAGGCGCGGGCCGGTGCTCGGCCCGAGCCGCGGCGCGTGCGCGTGGAAGGATCGGAGCCGCTGGGAAGCAAAGTTCATCGGGACAATAAAATAAGCTCGTGGGTTGATGGGGGTGCAGCGTCTTGTAAAAACACACCACTGTCCCCCCCAGGCCTTGCCAAGGCCGGGACACCAGGGGTGGCATCCCGCGCACCGGGGGGGGGTTCCCCGGAGCGTCTGCCTGGGGTGGGCAGGGGCCCGAAATGGAACAGAGGGGAGTGAGGATAGGGGAGAGCAGCACCCAGAGGTGAAGGAGGGCCTGGACATGCCAAAAGGCCCATGAAGGGTATTGCAGACCTCCACAAGGCAAAACCACACTCAGCCCCAGAATCCCCCAACTTGCTTTCCTCACCCCCAGCCTGAGGTGACCTGAGCCCCCAATACCCACCCCAGCCCTGGGGTCTGTCCCTGCAGCTCTGCTGTGCCTCTCTCTCCTAATTTATTCTATTTCTCACTATTTTTAAGTGTAACAGCCTTGCCTGTCTTGCCATGACAGTGTGGGATCCCTCTCTTTGCAGTCCTGGGTGACTGGAAGAAGACAGTGGTGCTGTGAGGGTGTCAGATGGGAATGAGCTGGACCTAGAATGTTTCTGGGGGAGATGATGGTGGGAAAAGAAGCAGGGGCTCCAGCAGCAGGAGGGGATGCTGTTGCTGCCCACGAGGCTCCCCTTTCTTGCTCCTAAAGGATGAAGCCACCGCCTGAACAGGGGCTTGAACCCTGGACCCTCAGATTAAAAGTCTGATGCTCTCCCAACTGAGCTATCCAGGCTCCTGTCTGGGATTTGGGGGGATGTCCAGGAGAGGCAGGGGGGACCCCACTTTGCTGCAGCGTTTGGAAGGACGATGTGGGGACCTGCTTTGACCTCTCCCACCCCCACAGCACCCCAGCGAGGCTGCCAGCGCACACCGGGCTGAACACCCGGCTCCTGGGAATCCCGCGGGCACCGATCCGGCACGGGGATGCGCCCTGGGAAGATGCCGGTGCCGCAGGGATGCGCTGGCAGGGAGGGGGGAGCGGGATGATGCGGGAGCAGCTGGAAAACCTCCGCCGCTCCCCGGAGCTCCCAGAGGGAGGCGGGAGGGTCCTGCCGTGGGAGAGGAGCGGGGAGGGGATGGGACCGTACAGGGGCCGTGCTCTGCGCTGGGGGGTCCCTGCTCAGGGCTGGGATCGCACGGGGGTTTGGGGTCCGTGCTCTGGGGCCGCAGCAACCTCGGTTCGGATCCGAGCGCCAGCAGCGCTTTTGCAGGAGCGGGGTAAGGCGGGAGGGAGGCAGCTGCGAGGAGTTGGGTTACAGAGACACGGAGCCCTCGGAGGAACCCTGAGCTCGGGTGGGCACTCAAAGGCCGCCCCACATATTCTCTTGGCCTTCCTGCCCTAGTGCAGGATGGGACCCCTCTGCCCCTCAGGGAACCCACCCTGCCAGTCCAGCCCGGGAGGGGCTGGAGGTGATTAAAGCCGATCCCAAAGGCTGGTGGGGTGGGGGAGCACCAGGGACAGCCCGCGGAGAGCCCCGTGGGGCCTCTTCAAACACCTCGTGCGCACTAATTGGCTTAATTAGAGCCGCCAGCGATGGCACCGGCCCCGCTTCTGCCGGGACTGGGGACGGGACTAATGAGCCGCGGGACTGCCCTGGAGGGGAGATCAGAGCCCCACGCAGGGTGGAGGGGGATGGTCTTGACAGAACAAGAGCACGAGCTTAATTATCCTGATTAATTAGAGCCCGCTGTTTTTAACCCACGCCTGGAGGTGTGAGCCCAGCAGTGCACTGGAGCAGAGCCCCGGGGTGGGATGGAGGCAGCAGAATGCGGGGAGAGACCTGAGGAGCCCCTCAGAGAGACCCCACAACGTCCCCAGACACCGCAGACAGACACGTGGTGGTCCCTGGATCCCACCGAGAGGCACCACAAGTACCCCAGACCCTTCAGGGGGGTGCTCAGAGGCCCCATGACCCCACAGGAGGTTCTACGACCACCCCAGAGCCCGCAGAGAAACGCCCGAACCCCTCCGGCTGCTGGGCGCGTTTCCGCCACCGCCCCCCCGGCCCTTTCTGTCCCCCCGCGGACACCGTCAGCCCCGCGGGGAGGGGCCGGAGCCGCCCCGCCCACCCGGAAGGGCCCGGCGGCACCACGTGGTGCGGAACCACGTGTGGGCCCCGTCATGGCGTCGGCGCCCAAGAGGTTCAAGGTACGGGGGGCACCGGGGGAGACCCCGGCCCTTACCGGGGCTCCGCGATCGGCCCTGCGGCTCCTTCCCCTTCACGCCGTGTTTCCATCCGCAGGCGGCGGCCGGGAGCGGCTCCCGGGGGAAGGGCAGCGCCGATCCCCTCTCCGCGTTCCTGGCGTGGTGCGGGCGGGCCGGGGTGGAGCTCAGCCCCAAGGTGAGGCAGGGCGGGCCGGGCCGGGCCTCCCCCGGGCCGCTCCGCTGTCTCCGGCCCGCCCGTCACCGCTCCCCTCCCGGCCCAGGTGCGCCTGAGCAGGGAGGGCGCGGTGGCGGGGTACGGCCTGTTGGCCGCCGAGGAGCTGGAGGCGGGAGAGGTCCTGTTCACCATCCCTCGCACGGCGCTGCTGTCCCAGCACACCACCTCCATCCACGCCCTCCTGCAGGAAGGTGAGCGCAAGCTTCTCGTGGCACTCGCGTTTGCTTTGCTTTTTAAAGGAACTAATGGGTCTGGGGTAAAGCCTTGGGGAGGTTCCTGCTGGAGGGTTGTTAGATACCAGCCAGGAAGGGGGTTCCCCCTAAAGGAGGCTCGAGCTCTGCCGGGCAGGGAGAGAAGCCCAACAGTCCAATATCTTCAAATTCCAAGTGACAGGCTCATGTCACTTATGTTTTCCTGGAGGCCCAGGACAGGCCCTTGTAGGGAAAAGAACAGTTCCTTGGTTTCTGAAGGCACCCACAGGCTCAGGCTGAGGATGGCAGGGCAGTGGGGCCTGGGAGAGCTCCAGAGCAGCAGCTTGTGGTTCAGCTCAGGACAAACTAAGACAAAGCAGAGTACAAGCAGAACTCCTTCCTCCAGGGTGAAGGGGGGACTGAGGCTTGTGGTGTCAGGCTTTGGTTCTTTGAGGAAAAAAACACCTCAAGATCAACTTACATTTTCTCCACCGTGTCTGGTTCTTCAGCCCAGGAGTCCCTGCAGAGCCAGTCGGGGTGGGTCCCTCTCCTGCTGGCCCTGCTGCACGAGTACACAGCCAGCAGCTCCCGGTGGCAGCCGTATTTCTCCCTCTGGCAGGATTTCCAGAGCCTGGATCACCCCATGTTCTGGTAAGGTGAAACCAGGCAGGGCTGTGGGGAGGTCCAGGCTGGCAGCTGGAGGCAGGCACAGCCCAGGGGCTGCTGAGCAGCATCCTGGGCATGGATCTGGTCCTACTGGGCAACCCCAGCCCTCTGTTCCAGGCCTGTGCTGGCACTGGCAGGAGCCTGAGGGACTCTCTTGGAGTTATGCTACAGGCACAGCCAGAGAACAGGGATCTGCAGAGCAGGAGGAAGCTGAGATTTTGAAGGAGGAAGCAGTCTGTAGACTCTTCTCTTTGAGGCAGAACCTCTGTTTTTCTTGCAACAGGCCTGAAGAAGAGCGAACAAGGCTCCTGCAGGGCACAGGCATTCCAGAAGCCGTGGACAAGGATCTAGCTAACATCCACCTCGAGTACAACTCCATCATCCTCCCTTTCATGGAGTCCCACCCTGATGTCTTTGACCCCAAGCTGCACACTCTGGAATTGTATAAGGAGCTGGTGGCATTTGTCATGGCCTACAGGTGAGAAGGGAGGGCTCTGCTCCAACAAGGAGTAAGGACAAGAAGCAGGATCACAGGAAAGATTAGAGGCTGTTACTTAAAGGTTGCAGTTGCATGAGAATGTAAGTATAAGATGAAGCTTGCCCTGTGCTGCCACATGAACCACAGGCCTGTCTTCATCTCCCTTCTTCTAGCTTTCAGGAACCCTTGGAAGAGGAAGATGAAGATGAGAAGGGGCCCAATCCTCCCATGATGGTGCCTGTAGCAGATATTTTGAATCACGTGGCCAACCACAACGCCAACCTGGAGTACTCTCCTGTGAGTGCAAAGCTGCTGTGCCAGGCATTGCCACAGCCTGGTTCCCCTTTCTCGAGGCCTTTGGGAATGGAGACACATCCCTGGGCAGCCAGTCTGGCCTGGATCTTGTTAATATGAAGCCCTGCTGTGTGTTTGGAGTTGGTTAGTGAGAGCTGTGGGTCACCTGAGCCGCTCTCAAACCCCGCGTTTCCCCGTTGGAGCAGCGCAGCTCTGAGCTCCCCTCTCCCTGCCCGCAGCTCTGCTTGCGAATGGTGACCACGCAGCCCGTGGGGAAGGGCCAGGAGATCTTCAACACCTACGGCCAGATGGCCAACTGGCAGCTGCTGCACATGTACGGCTTCGCCGAGCCCTACCCCGGCAACACCCACGACACCGCCGACATCCAGATGGTGACGGTGCGGGCGGCGGCTCTGCGGCGTGAGTGCCACCCGCGGGCACCCCGGGAGGGGACGGGGCAGGGATCCGGGCACACGGGGATGTGACGGAGCAGGGAGCGAGGGTGACACGAAAAATAACGCCTGATCCACAGCATTTCAGGTGCTGGGGCCACGCCTTGTTTTCTGCCTCCTGTCTGCCCTTCTCCGCCCCGCTGGGGTTGCAGCTCTGCTGTCTTCAAACAGGTGCTGGGAGTGAAGCGCAGCAGCAGCTGGTGTCAGAGCAGTGGGATTTCTTGTGCCAGCTGGAGATGGTGGGCGAGGAAGGTGCCTTTGTGCTTGGCTGGGATGAGGTGCTGACAGAGGAAGAGCTGTCCGTGACCCTGAAGGTGAGCACAGCCAGGGAGGGGGGAGAGAGCTACGCAAGGAGAGCACAGAGTGCAGCTGGGCTAACCAGCAGTGCACAAGGGCTCAGTGGAGGGGACAAGCATGGGAAGGCAGTTTGGTACCAACACTCCTGCATGAACAGTGGCAGGGGCTGTGGCTGTCCAGCTCCCAGGTGCTGTTAAAACATCGTCCTCTCCTCATCTAGCCACCCATCTGTACTCGTACCTGTTTTGAACAGCTCACTCCATGGCCACTGTGGGTCTAGGGAGCTTTCAGAACTTCGTAGGTGACAGCTGAGATGTCCAGGTTTTCTATTTGAATGTTCTTCTAACACAGAAGTTGCCTGCAATTAGGGATCTAAGCCAGTTTCAGTCTGTTAACCTTTAGTGTGGCTGAGGAATAACTCACCTGCTCCACGTGGCTCTTCTCTTCCACAGAGGAGAAAGCCTGATGTGCTCACACTGCCAGTGACTTGTCCCTTTGCCTGGGTCATTACAGGTGCTGTGCATGTCAGAAGAAGAATTCAAGGAGTATAAGGAACAAGATGGCTGGGAAGATGACAATGAGGAAGAGGAAAACTCTACCCTTTCCAATGAGGCTCTCTCCAGACTAAAAACCCCATGCAAGGAGCTCCTTTATGACAGTGTGCTGCTGACCCTGGAGTCCTACAGGTCAGATCTGAAAGCAGAGCAGGACTTGCTAAATAACAAGGAGGCTTATGAGAAACTGAGTCGAAGGGAGCAGCAGGCTCTGCACGTGCGCTACGGACAGAAAAGGATCCTGCATCAGCTGCTGGAGCTGGTACAATAGAAACCTCACTGCCCCTGGACATGACCTGCCTGGGACTGATCCAAAAGGAAAGGCAGCCTCTGGACATCAATCCTGCAGCAGGGAGGACAGATGGCAAGATTGACTATAGGCCCACTTGTCCCTTATATGGCATGTGGCTTTTTAGCTACCTCTCCATAAAGAAGTATCTTGACAGCACTGAAGGGATTTTGGGTGGCATTGTTGTACAGTGAGAGCTCTGGAGCACAAATATCACCTTCTTCCAGAGGCCTTAAGAAACCCCAGACCTCCCAATGGCTGTTTTAGGAAGGCAGGTGTACACTGTCAGAACAGCAAGTGGGTTCCCTAATTCAGCATCAGAAATTTAAGGCAAGAGCAGCTCCTTGTCCAGATTAAGAGGGCAGAATCCAGCTGGCAGCTCAGAGTAAACATCTGGCAGCTGGAGCTGCTGACAACACTAAACCCTTCAACGCAGAAATCCGATTGGATTGGACCTTCCTGTTCGCAAATTCCAGGTGGGAGATGGGGTCTGTCTGAGACTGTGGAATGATGGGACACTACAGGAACACTGGAAAGGACTGTAGCAGGTTCTCCTCCCAACACATGGCTCTGAAACTTCAGGGACTAGAGCCATGGAACCACCATTTATAAGGGAAGAAAACTACAGGACTAGATAAGTGAGAAGCCACCCCCTCTGGATCTTTGGGACTAAAAGAATTAAGAAGTAACTTAATGAACTGTACCTGGGAAGAAAGCCTGTCTGACATAGAACTTGAATGCCCTCAAGGGGTAGTAGCATTTCCAATTGCAGTAATTGTTTTACACAAACACAATTGCACAAACCAGGACTGTTGAGACAGTGTCAGATGTCAAACTTCGTATAATGTTGGTATAATTTTACATTGATTAAGCCCCTTACTGTGACATGTTTTCCTGAATTGCCTTAATCCTTCTGAATAGGAAACTCATCATAGATAATCCTTTTGTTCTTTCTTGTCCAGTCAAATACTGTAACAAGAAATCAATTGTACAATGGTTTAATGAGGATGGAAGAGAATTCAAATTATTAATGTTGCAACTAGATGGGAATCCAACAATATATACTCTTTAGAAAATTTCTTTTGATGCATAAGGAGGAGGAGGAAGGTAAATATCACTGCTGAGCCATAGGAGATGAGGTAGTAGCAGAAGGCCATTGGATACAAGTAAAGGTAAAAGGAAAACCTTTAACACCTCCCAAATCCCCTCAAGCCTGGGAAACCAACCCATACATAATTAAGGAGGTAGGGAAACAACAAACACTATTTCATATTGGCTATACTTAAAACTAAAGACTGTGATATTCATCCTGTTATTGCTCTAGGCATGATCAGTAATGGAACCACAGTGCATCCAACAGAACAGAGAAAGGAACAGATGACAAATGTCAGCACTTGTATAGCACAAGAACAAGGGTTTGTCTGTGAGGGAAATACAACTGAACTCAAGATGCCTGCCTAGATATGGAACAGAATATCTGTAATTCTGAAATTCAGCCAGAGATTAATGTAAAACCAGTATTTGTATACATAACTAAAGGGTGTGTATGCTTTAGTATTCCTTGGGAATACACAGAAATGGAAAATCAATTAAATCACACTCTAATTTTTGTGTTTGTAAACTTAAAAATCACAGCCTCTGATTTGGGTAAATATTCAGCCCCAGTAACTTCCTTCCAACTATTAAAAACAAATTATAGCTTAATTAACTGTACAACTTACCTCTATGGGTATAAGCCTTATGCTAGTAAAGAAATTGCTACAACATAAAAATTTGCAAAGGCTGTTAAAAGAAGCTAAACAGAGTAGTAGAAAGACTTTGATTACTGTCTATCATGACACCAAAGAAATCCATCAGGTAATGGAAAGAGTGAAGAAAGATAAGAAATCACCATTGGTGGAATATTTTATTTGGATGGGCTCCAACAGCACCAGGAATTTTTAATAAAATGGTACATCTCATAATTGTCTTTAAAACTAACCTGTCTGCTTTTTATTTTAGTGCTAGGATTGTATATCAAAATGTGGAGAATCATGGAACACCTACCTCCAAGATTTAAATGTAATTGGGAACAACAGTAGCCAAAAGAATGTGGAAGTGTTTCATAAAATATTTCAAAAGCTTCCAAGGGAGGGAATTGATATCTTCAAGCAGAATTCTTTATATCTTTAAGTAGAATTCTCTGTCCCTTCCTTTGACCTCTGTTGCAGATGGAAGCTGATGGTATTATTCTCACCTTTAACCCCTCTTTTGAATACAAAGAGATGTTATCAGGTGTGTCAAACGGGTGTTGCTTTATCCTTATGGAAAGCTTTTGTATTTTATGCCCTGCTTGGCAATTGTTTAGAAGACGGAGCTGCAGCTGCAGATCACCTTTGGCACTAAACCTTGGGTTCTGTGCAGCCTGAGCTGAACTTTGCTTGAAACTGAGTCAGGGGCAGCTCCCCAAACGACCACCAGAGACCTCTGGAAAGGTCCCCACAGGCACAGTAACAAGGACTGCATAAGGGCTGCACAAGCTAAATGACTCTGCATTAGGTAGGAGGTAACTATGTATTAGACAGGTGGGTTTATGTAAACTTTGGTGTCTAAATTCTCTCACTTTTTTATTCCTTGGTGTGCTTGATTTGTGGAAAAACTTCCACCTTGCACCCTGTGCAGAATAAACAATGTCTCCTTTCTAAACCTGACTCTTTGTCCATGTTCAGAGAGTTCCTAAAATTCAGCAACACAGGGAGGGATATGAGTGCAGTGGCCTCCATCCTACCAGCCCAACTTGTGTTCCTGGGATCTTGGCTGAGTCTTGTCCACCTCCCAGTCTCTGCAACACCAGCCTTGTACAGCAGCATTAGTACAGAACTAGAGACACATCTGAGCCATCAGGACAAGGCAATAAGCTCTGCAGATGGTTTTGCTACAGTCAAATGGAAGGAAAAAAAATCCCATGGCATCTGGACCAGATAAAGAAAAGCTGGTTGCTGGTAATTCTCTGTATCCTAACCCCACAGGAGGAGGAGTAAGCTGAAGTTGCAACAGCAGAACCAAAAAATTCCAACTTCAAAAGGCTCAGTTTCAGCACAAGTGGTGAGCTGCTACAGAAACACCAGGGAATTGTAGGACCTGCCCACAGTCTAGTCCTTGACACACATGTGACTGAACAAGATTGCCCAGAACAGAGACAGGTAGAGAATTCCTTGTGAGCTGCTGTCCACTGGCACAGTTGGCTCAGTGGCCCTTTGGAGCCCGTTTTTGCTCCATGCAGCAAATGCAAAGCCCGACACAGAACCCCTTAAACCTGAGTAGAAAATCCTGACCTCCTCTCTGCCCATAGCACAGCAGCCAACTAGGTTTAACAAACTAGTGATGTTAGGAAAAAAGCAAGCAGTGGAGCCCTATTTCCCAGCATCTGCTAGGCTGTAAGGCACAGGCTAAGGGATTCTGCAGTATTAGCAACACTGGAGCTGCCTCCCCTTCCCACAGCCCAGCCTTGGGCAGATCCCTGCTGCAGGGAGAACCACAGCAGGGTGGAAGGCACTAGAAATGAAGCTGATGGGCTCTCTACACTCTGTACCCCTCCACTGCAGTCTTCTGTCTGAAACAAACTGCTCATGAAGCTGCAACTAAGACACTCCTATTTCCACATAACTCTCCTCTCTTTTGCACTTCAAAGCAAGGCCCTGTCTAGACATTCCATCTCCCCACTGATCTCACACTAGAGAACAAACCCAGTTGCTTTCAAGAGGCAGTGCCCAAAACACACTGGAAAATTGCAGGTTTTGGATGGGTGGAACAGACTTTGAAAGACACCAACTAGCCAGGATGGAACTGGAGAGAATAAGCACAGTGGCACGTGCTGCATGTCATGACTTTTAATGTGTAACTACAGTATGCATACATACAAGAGTGGGAGAACTAAAGCCCAAGAACTAGAAAGGCTACAAAATACAACACATGGACCAATACTTTACAAAACATTGAAAATCCTTACAAAATGGGCTGTATTGGTCCTTTGGGTTTTTGTTTTTATTCTTTTTCCTTTTTTTTTTTTTTCTAATTTTTTTTTTACAAACTTAAACTTGTATGTGTGGTCACAGGGTAGGGATGGGAAAAGGTCTAGATTGAACCCCTCATCTTTCAAAATTTACAACTGTCAAAAAAAAAAAAAAAGAACAAAAATAAAGAAGCTATAGGCCTGGTCTCTGGTTTATTTACTGAAAACAGCTGACCCTCACCTGAAGGGCCTGTTTTTTATCCAACAGGAAGGAGGCATTCTCTGACTGCCACTCCACTTGCTGTCTATCAGCATCTGATGAGGGTGAGGGGAAAGCAACACTGAACCTTAACCCCTCCCTCACCCCTCCCATACTCCATAGAATTCCCATATTCCAAACACATCCACCTTTTTTTTAACAACTTAGTGATTGAAAGGTCCCCCATCCACATAAAGAAAAATAAGTTACTTATTATAACTGGCTTTTCAATATTCTTTGGGAGTCTGGGAATGTCAGGACAAGGAGGTCTGCCCCAGACAAGTGCTTGGCATCAGCAGCTGCCCCTTTATTACAAGCTGGACAGGCACCAGTTGCCCACCTGCCTTTTACACAATTTGCACAAACCCAAAAGTCCAGACAAAAATGTTTCTGTTCCTTGTATTTACACTAGTTTAAAATGATATTCACAGCATCTTCTGAATTTTGGCCAAAAGTCAAAAAATTTGTCTCAAACTTTGGAACATGCCCACATAAGACTTTCACCCAGGGTCTGTCGTGTTCTACCCAATCGAGGGGGCTGGGAAGGTCAGGAGGAGCCTTACAGAGTCTTCAGTCAGTCGATGGGACAGGACCTCCAGGCTGGCACGCTTAGAATGCAGGATACAGCTTGTCTAACTGGCACCAGTCCCTTCCATGACTTGCTGGGCCTGCTTCTGCCCCATGCAGCACTGTGCAACCGACTGGAACAACCTGCACAAGGAAGAAAAGCAGTGGTAGTGGCAGCAAATGGTCCTTCTGCTGTGACAGCACCAAAAACCTGCTTCAGCTCTACCCATTTTAATGATTCTGTGGTTAAAGTCATACTCACTTCTCAATTTCTGGAGCGCAGTGAACAAACTCATGGTTCCAGAACTTAAACGCTGGGTTTTTTATCAGCTCAATGAAAGTAATAAGGAGACCCCAGGGATGAGGCCTATTTACAATCAGTCGTTCCAAGAGAACCCTGAAATCCAAAAGTAAAAACGGTTGGAGCTCAAAGACCCGGACTGGGAAGAAGACCCAAACGAAGGAAGAGAAGCAAAAAGCGGATATGTTGGTAAGTGGAATGGTGATCTCACCTGGTGATCTGCTCCTGGATAGCCTCAGTGTTGGCCTCTGCAAACAGGTAGAGCATGGTGCAGCTGAAGTAGTGGGTGTGGCTGTTGGGGTATCGCAGCTGGTTGGCAATGGCGTTCAGGAAGAGGTACCGACCTGCGGGAGAGCAACGGTGAGGACACACAGCTCCCCTCACACACAGCCAAAAAGGAATCAAGAAGCCACTAGTGGTGCTTGAGATAACGTTTGTGAGCCTGTCTTATGGAGGCACAAGGAACAAAGCTAACTGAAGATGTGTAAAAACTGTATCAGCTCAGGCTGATGGGGCAGTAAGACAGTAAGAACTCAATTCTTCTTCATTAAAGGCATTTCCAAGTCCCTTGAATACTTCGAACTTTTGGTTATAACATTGCTCCTGTATTCAGTTTACTATTCTAACATAGCATTCCTTACTGTGAATTCACTAGCAGCTACATGAAATCACAGAATTACTTAGGCTGGAATAGACCTTGAAGATCAAGCCCCACTGTCAACCCAGCACTCTCAGTGTAACCCCTAAACCACATCACCCAGTGCCAGATCAGACACCTCTTAACACCTCAGGGGAGAGTGACTCCACAACCTGTCTTGGGCAACCTATTCCAATGCCTGACTGCCCTAACAGTGAGAATACTTTTTCTAATATCTAATCTGAACCTCCCCTGTCTCATCTTAGGGCCGTTTCCTCTTGTCCTCTCACTGCAGGCACAGTAGAAGAGACTGATCCCACCTCCCTAAAACCCCCTTTCAGGTAGAGGGCAATGAGGCCCCTCCAAGCCTCCTCTCTGAGACTAAACAAACCCAGGTGCCTCAGCTGCTCCTCACAGGACATGATTTCTAGACCTTCCATGAGCCTTGCTGCCCTTTGCTGGACACACTCCAGCACCTCAATGTCCTTTTTAAAGCGAGGGGCCCACTTTGCTGTAAATGTGACATGGCAACAACTGCAGTGCTTCCAGCTCACCTTCAGTGTCCAGGTCTACTGCCAAATTCTGGAAGATGTCCATGTGAGCTGAGTGGGTGATGGTGCTCATAGAGGGTGTGCTGCCTTTGTTGTGGATGTGTGCAATAGCTTGGGTACCTACGTAGAGCACCAGTGCATTAATCAGCTGGATGTTGTAGCGGTTGCCGGGTTCATTTGATACCTAATAACAAAGATAGGAAAACCATGAACAATCCACGTTCCTTCAGCACTTGAAGGTACAGCATGTACAACAACAGCATCCAAGTATCTTCTTGATTATATGGACACCCACAAATTCAACTTGGCATTTACCCTTTTCTAATACAGCATGTATTATGAAGCATGTATTACAGCTTATTATAATATTATATTTGAATATATATATTCAGAAGCATCAGGAAAGTGCTAACAGACCCCAGCAGACTTTTTTTTTTTACTCCATACCTAAAAGAAAAAAATCAGGTAAGGCAATGTGAACTCAGCAGCAGTGCCAGAGGCCCAAACACCCCTCCTCTCACCAAGGGAACGTTTCTGTCTCAGCAATTCTCTGAGGAAGTCCAACTTCAGACCTGAAGTCTGCTGCAAGCCAAGCCATGTGATGTCTGAAACGTGGTTTTAGCCACAACCCTGCACTGGGTTTTAGCTAATTTGACCTTTTTTTACCCCT